CCCCGACAGCGCTCCAACGAAGGTGAAGTGGATTGCAACATCCACCATGGTGGCCGACGGCCTGACAAAGGCCATGAAGGCACCGCAGCTGGATAGCTTGATGGCTGATGGGAAGCTCAGCGTAGCTTACACTCCGTAAAGATATACGGGTGTGAGATTGAGCATGCCATCACGTTCATACATGATCAGCCTTGGCACTTTTCCCCACCGTGCCGTCGTGTAAGCTCGACACCTGCCACAACCTGTGGCTCAAGCCTGCTAGAAAGGCCCGCGCTTTTTGCTTTGGCCGCGCCAGTTTGATACTTTCATACTCAAAAACTACCTGTTCAAGTGACTTTTAAATCACTGTAAAGGTCTTCATCAAGAGTCTTGACTCTTTGGGTGGAATGCCATCACCCCAAAAACCACCTGTTCGTGAAGGACCATGTCCACCCATGGACCGCACCACGTCCGGGCGCGCTCCGCCGCCGAGGCGTCCCGCCGTGGCGGCCGAGGACGAGACTGCCGAAAGACCGGAGGTGGTCGAGACCGTGAAGGAGGGTCGGCGTCGAGCGGGGGGAGGGGGTTGTTGGGCTGGTGCGATGAGAGTCGGCACTGGTTGGCCACCCTACTACGGCCACGCTACGTGATGTAGTGGGCCTTTGTTGTTGTCATGTAAAGCTGGCTAGATCCGTTTGAAGAGGAGCAGAGTGAAAAGGAAGAATCGTAAAGATGCCAAAGGAGTTGGACACCTTCTTCCACGTCATGTGTTGACTTGGTACCGGGTTCGTGTCTCTGCATATGCAGGAGGAAAGCAGACCCTCCACTGCCTTTGCTGCCATCGATGACTGGAACCGCCAGACCATGCGACGGTGACCCGGCGTGACCATTATGATGATCCGATCCGGAAGGTTTCGGCTGGTTTTGCACATAGCCTCTCGAGCTCCTTCTGGACATGTTTTTTTTTTTTGCATTCTCTTCTCATGATTCTCATGTCCCTACCTAGCAACTTGTTGGTCCCCCCAAATCACACAGAGACTTGTGGGGTGACGTAGAGACCCCTCAAAGCCCAACCGCCCAATGAACCCGCAGGACAGAACCTTTGAACCTCTCCTCCCAGAAAACCAGAAAAGAGTCCCAAAACAGTGAACGGGTCAACGGACAGTCATACTCGCATGTGTCTAAACCGAAGCTGGTGATTCTGAAGACCATCACCCAAATATGACCTTTGACCTGACCGTTTCGAACCCAATGACTTCTCCATGTGCCGAAAGCAAGACACCTCTCATCACCTCTCCTCCGCCCGCCCCTCCGTCACGGTCCGAGGCTCCGGGACGCCGCCTTGAACGACACGGTGGGCACCTTGCTGGGCAAGGCGCCTCCCTGGTCCCGCGCGTGTGAGGAGCTCAAGATGCTCGAGGCGGGACGGAGTGACTCCTGGATGGGGGAAGGGGTGATGAGGGAATGAGGGATGGAAGGGCGCCCGGATAAGGCGAAAAAGGATCGATGAGGAGTTGTTTCAAACATGACTTCAGAAACTGAAAGAAAAGAGGGGGTGTAGAGGAAACTGACAGGTCGTTGGGATCCCGTCATGTGGAGAACATATACTACTGTAAATATACGATCCTCATTTTCTGGTTGGGTGGCTCCAGAACCTGTTTGCGTGGGGGTGAAGCCAAGCACCCTTGGTCAGCAACCACCCTCCCTGCCACAGAGTCAAACACGTCAACCCAACCGCAGACCTTGTCGCCCCTCTCGTCCTCCACCTTCATGGCTTCGACGATGAGGCGTGCGGGGTTGGACCGGCGGTTGACGGGAGCGCGAAGATGTTGGATGTGTGACAGGATTGGCGAAAGTCATTTTTGCTTGAACGCATGGCAGATGAGATCACCTCGGATTTTTGCATGTTGGATGCCACCTGATGCCACCTGAACCCTAAACCAGTTTTCACCTTTTATCTGTACCACCAAGATCGGCAGGAACTAGGCCCCAAGATTCGCCCGAGCGTTCGCATCGGCGCATCGGCGTCTCGCGCGCACCGCGGGCAGGACCCGCGCCGCTCCGCGCGGCGTGAAACACGCCGCCGCCCAGGACGAGTCACACCTGGGAGATTGCGACCACCCCTCGAGACCTGCTCCACATTGGAAACAACAGGCGAGTCCGCGCGTGCTGCGCATGCTGCGTCCGGCTCCATGCTCCCGGGTCGGTGGGGACCCATCCAGGCCGACTCTGCGCGGTGGCAGGGTGGTTTGGCGCGGTTGTTCGGTCGCCTCTGCGCGGTGGGTGGTGTTTTACGCAAAGCTTTCTTTCTGGCCTTTTTGTTGGCGGTGCGACACACACACACACACATGCTGCACTTTTGGGGGGTGAAGAGCGTAGTGTTCGCGGTGTTGGGGCGTGCGGGAGAGGCTGGTGATGGCTGCCAGTTGGGTCGACACATGTTTTGGCACATTGAGATGGTCATGGGGTGAGACTGTTCATTTCAATCAAGTGGAACCTCACACCTATCATCCATCAGGTGCGGTCAGGGCAGTAGCGAACAGGCACCTGGTAGGTTCACAGGTTTTTTGTGTTTGGACTAAAGCGATGCTTTGTGGAATGATGAAAAAACACACAGCCGGTTGTTCTGTCAAGGTCTTTTTGTGGATGATTCCCTGTTTTGCAAGTCTGGTTTGAGGCCAGATTGAGATGCAAAAGAGGCACGGAGATTGAATGCTTAAAGATGCTTAAAGGATTACAGTGATGACAGAACAATATCTGCCAACTGTTCTCCTCGTTTGAGTTCTACTCAATTGTTCGTGGACAAGATCCAGAAGCTGGAGATCGACTCCATTTGTCAAAGTGCAACATTTGCAGTATATTCAGCATATTCCTGAGATCTGTTTAGGATACCATGCCTGAGTTGGCCGGAGGGCAAAGTTCTGCTGCCCACTCCCCCACCACAAAACAGAAACAACAGGACCAGGAACTGAAATGACACCTAATAAACACGCGTGGCTTCGTTCTGCTTGCGGAACTATCCATGTTTTTTCCATGCAACCTCACGCTCCACTTCCCCCCAACACCTGTGCGTCGTCGATCCTGGACAGGCGACGCGACGTGATGACGGAGTTCCAGCAAGTGCTGAGGGTTCAGGGCCCCATGCTGCGGAAGCTCCAGAAGTATTCGCCGGGGCATGCGACGAGAAGTTAGGTGATGAGAAGCGGTCCGCCAGCGGTCCGCTGCGGAGCTCACGCGGAGTCTCTGTTTCGGGTGTAAAGACCTGAGAAGTTGCTCAATGATTTTGGCGCCCTCCCCCTCCCTCGAAGCTTGTCTGGAAGCTGGGAAGCTTCTTGGATCGGGTGTATTGTGAGTCCAAGAAATAGCGACACTAAAGCAAGATGTAGAGGGCCCCCAAACGTCCTTTGGGGGTCAAACAGGGGGTCGCCCTGTCTTGATATACACCTGGGTCATAGGTCATGGTGCATGTCCGTAAATGGGCCGTTTCATCCACCCGATCCGGCCATGGAATCATCGACCCAGTTGCGTGCACCTCCGAGTACTTGTGACACTTCTGGGTTCCGTACCTACCAGAATTTAGAATCTTAATAGATCAGAGCCAAAGAACTCGGACTGTGTTGCACTTCCCTTTGGACCCCTCAGCTGCCCCACCTTCCACAACCGGCATATCTTGCCCCGGACTCCGCTGTTCGGTAGACCGCGGTCTCACCCGGGCGCGGTTGACGCCGTGCTGACCTGGACTCGCTTCGGGCATCGGTTGTCCACTTCCGCCAGGAATAGGATTCGGGGCATCGGTGCCTTTTCAAGTTTGATGAAGTTTGCAGGGCCAGACTGGACAGGTCACAAATTATTACGTTGTGAGTTGCGAGCATCCGGGCATTCATTCCTTCGTGCGAAAAGGCGGCGCACAGCCGAGCTGAAGTGTTGGGTCAGACTCAAATCGCCGGGTCGTTTGGCCCGATGCAACGACTGTCGGAAGCGGCCAAGACACGTCCTGCTTTCAAACTGTCATTATGACCCAGAGAAAAGAGGTGCTGAGAAACACTTGATACTTCCCTCACACAGGTCGCCCCCTTTTTGGGTCCGTGGAATGATGGCAAAGTTGGGCGACCTTGGGCCAAGCTCAAACTCTGAACCAGCTCTCAGTTCGTTTCGCATGCCATTCCATGAATTGTTTGTTTCTCAACCCATTGACTAGGTGATGATGTCGGGGCTGAGGCTGCGTCCGAATAGCAGTCCTGCAATCCGTTATGCCTGACATATTCAGCAGTGAAACCCTGACAGTGTTCAGGCTCGGGGTAAAGAACCCCAGTTTGGGGAGATTGCTTTGAGTTTCCCTCCGATGGTCGCTGCATGTCGCTGCAATGGTCCGAAGCACTAGCACTGGCACGCAGCACTCGCGCCAAAGGCGCGAGTGTGCGGAGCATGATCACCTCAGAAAAAAGATCGAGCTTCGCCCTGCCATGCAAAGTTTTTCTTGCTTGTGGATGAGAACTCTAGATCTAAATATCTGCACTGTATTCCAGACTTCTTTGGCACTACAACATCCAGGCAGCTGGTGCCGTCAGGCTGCCGTTGCATGTAGATGCTGATCACCTCATCATCCTAAAACGAAACTGTGGTTGGAAGAATCAGGTATGACATGTCCACACCTTCGCCTTGTAATTGTCAGAGTTTGAATCTGCCCTTCAGACGGCAGGTTAAGTAAACCGACGACCCTGACAGATTGCACCATCCTATCAGATAAAAAAGATTTTGTAAAGACAGATGTGAACCACGGTGAACCGGTCACTGAATGTGCCAAAAAACGTGTAGATTGGATGGATTTTCAGGTGCTGCACATGCATCTCCTGTTTTCAGATTCATCTCATGCAGGTGCCCACGGAGAATGGTCAGAAAGGGTCGGACCGGGCGGACCCGTGCACATCCAAAGCCACACTCCCGTGGCAACGAAGAAACAACTGGAGCCAGGTGTGGTGTTCTGTGGTCCTCTGCTCGGTCCTCTGCACCTGTCGCCTAAGGCCTCAGTGACGATTACGAGGCGAGTGACGATGACGAGGGTGGTCGGTCTCCTTGCCGCACATCGGCATTGCTCCTCGTTTCATGATGCACACAACATGTGCCAGGGATTACATTGCATCCCTCCCTGGTTTCGTGATATTTTGTGGATGGTTCTCCAGGCATCAAACCAAAGTCAGAGTCCACATGGCTTTCGTGTTTGACGTTTTTGCCACAACAGCATACCAGTTTTCAGCAATCTCACCACAAATGTCATTCACGTGGACATTTTGTTGCTGAATCAAAGGTGAAGACGTTCGTGAAACAAAGATGAAGTTCGTTAAACGATGTTTAACGTATGTATATATATAATATAGATAGATGAACATGACGTTCATGAAATGAACATGACAAGTTGACATTGATGATCCAACCGAACATCAATACACCCCCACCCAACCACTGAGCGTCACGCCTGTTGCGTGGTCACATGAAAAACCGTAACATCAGTAGACTGTCCAAAAACACCAAAAATGCAGTGGCCCGATTGGGTGTTTCCGGTATGTTCTGGTCAACTCAGAAAGCCGCGAAGCTGAGTTAAGACTGGTTGCTGGGCAAAATAACCTCTTCTTTCTTTGCTGTTTTGGGACCATGTTCTTCTTTCGGAGTCAACACTTGATGCCGAGACGAGATACTTCCCATGAGACTGTGCAAGCTCTTGATGGACTGTGACGGCGTAGTCACGAGGGACATGTCCCAATAGAAGCGCCGGTGTTGGGTCAAAGGACCCTTGAAACTGCATCCAACGGTTTGCCAGAACACCCCAAGTTTTCCGGGTCCTTTGTCAGGTCACTTGACCTCTCTTGGATCGGATCAAGTGTTGAGGTTTGGCCAGTTTGGTCCAAATTTGGGCCTCCCCAGCAAGTCCAAAGTGGTGTGATTTTGTCGAGTTTTTGGATGTGATCCTGCTTTTTTAAGCTCTTGCGAAGACGCTACAGGAGGAGGATGGTGGCATGAAGATGGTCGGTGTGACCCAGATTGAAGGTTGCAGAAGGTTGGATGCTGCAGCAACCAAGGAGACCTTTCTTGATGGGGAGGGTGGAACGAGTGGGGTTGAAGTCGTTCTTTTGTCCGGTGGCTCTTCTTGCTTCTCTTTTTTCGGGTGCTGGAGGATGGGGCTTTTGATGGGTTCATGGGTACATACTTGCAATTCTTCAGGGTTTGGAGCTTAGTATATATCGTGCTCCCAATGTGAAGTTGGAACGACCATCTATCTATCACCTTGGAGGAGCTTGCACATGCAGCAAGCACGAGGTACCACCCTGATATAATATGATATAATTCCATTCAGCTGGCATTGGTTCGGGGCAAAGATATGTTGGCCCCGAGAAGCTTTTCGTTTGCAGCCGAAGATCTTCTTCTTCTGCACCAACTGATTTGGGCGGAATCAGTCATGGTCTTCCCTGGTGGGTGAAACACTGGCGTCTCCTCATCCTCCATCTTCGACGGGGGCCGAGCAGTGCCACGATGACTTGATGACGCCCCCCCGAAGGAGAGAGGAACGTAGGACGTAGGAAAACTGAGAAAGCTGCGAACGGGTGCAGGAGTTGATTTGGTCATCGAAAAGGATCGCAAACGAGAGCTTCAGCGGACCTGAAAAAGGGGCTCTCTCTTCCACAGGAAAGCCCCAAAATCCAGATCACAGAAGGACTTTGGATCTATAAGGTACTGCAACCTCATGATAAAAGGACATGGAGAAGGTTCCATTGTTGGGAACGAGCTACTTAGACCGGCCGACCAAAAGAGACCGCTGTGTGTCGACAGCTCGTTGAGGCCTCTTATGAGCAGAGCTATCCGTGGGAGTGCCCAGCATCAACCCAGCAACCCATGAGATGCTGCGAAAGAAAGAGAACGGGATTTGGACCCCATAAAGTCCTTATAGGGGCCATAAGGGGTCATATGGGGCCAAGCTTTCGTTCAAGCTGAAGCACCTTTGCAGGAGCTACCTTATGTACCGTTGCTTTCAGGGGAGGATTTCGTTTCGCTCGGTAGTCACTTGGTTTACCTGGGTTCAATTATAGCCTTTTTGTTTTCAATCTTCTCTTGCCAACAGTTCTGTTTCACTGACCCTCCACTCTTGCTTTCCAGCCACGCATGTGCTCATGAAAAAGCAGCAACACTCTCCCAGTGGACCGGCTACTGTGGTGGGTACTGAAATATCGCTCGATTATTGCTCCTACCTGACTCAACTGTGGGCGAAGTCCAAAATTCGCATCCGACATATGGTGTGGATCACAAGGTGATACTTGTACAAGCTTCGCTTCCTCCTTTCTAAGTGACCATACGACCTGGATGTCTCTGTCCCATACGTTTCGAAGTGGAGTGAGGCCTCGGAAGGGCGACGAAACTCGTCGCTCTTCCGATCCTTCACACGTTCACTTGAATTGTCCATCTGGGCTTGGAGTCATCAACCAACAAGCACCGCTTCGTTACGAAGTGACTTGCATTCATGCTGGACCAGTCTGACTGGTACCGGTGGAGGTGGTGAAAACACCGCTCTTCGCCCGGCCCGGTGGACCAGCGTTCTTCGCCTCTGTGAGGCCGCAAGGGCAAGCCCAGCCACCTTCGCCGCCGAGGTGCTGTAGCAGCAGGGAGTGGTCAGTCTGAAGGGAAAGGATTGGGCGGTCAATTCAGCACTTCAAACACTGAGGTTGACAGCAGTGCATTCTGAATTCGTTGGGTCCACCGGTCAACCCAGGAGTTTGTGGTTTTGATCCATCACACACGGGCTTTTACTGGGAAGGGACGGGAAGGAAGTGAAGCGAGCGAGCAAGCGAGCAAGCAAGGAAGGACGGAAGAAAGGAAGTAAGGCAGTAAGCAAAACCAAAGTAAGCCCGCAAGCAAAGCAAGCGCGAGTAAACCATGCGTAAGCAAGCTAGTATACAAAAAGAGTTAAAAAAAATCAGAAGAACAAGGAAGCAAGTGAGAAAGCAAATAAGAAAAGGGTGAAGCAAGCAAAAAGCATGCACGCAAGCTAGGCATCAAAAACTTTCTGGATCAGTTTTTGCTTGGATTGCTATTGGGGGGAGGTGCTGCGCCCTGCCCCCAACCCCTCCAGCTTTCACCAAAGCACGCCAAACAAAGCTTAGTGGCTAGTGGAAGCAACCAAAGAGCGCGTTTGCCCCAAGTGTTGTACATAGACGTGCATCACAGCAGATGATGGAGGCGTCCAAAGTGCTGTAAGTACCGCGTGGAGCATCCAAATCAGGCGGAAAGTAGTGGCAGTGGACGATATGATGATGTCCAAGGTGGTGTTAATGAGCGAAAAGTGAACAAGGGGCGCCCCACAAGCCGACGATAGCAGCGGAGGTCGAAAATATGAGGTTCCTTGTGGTGTAAGAACATGAAGAATGAACATCGAGAAACGGGCACCTTCTCGAACCAACCAACGCGGCCAAAGTTGTTGATCCAAACCAACCCGGTGGACTGGCAGACCAGGCCGCCTCAGGGCTCTTACGGACACTATGGGCACGGGGCACAAGCGCCCACCATGAACTTCCAGCAGGCGAAGCCTGTGGCAGGGCAGGGGAGAGGATTGGGAGTTTCGGGAGATGTCGTATCGCATCACCTGAAATCATGCGGATTTTAGCAATAAATAGTGAGCAAACCGTTCGCCGTGAGGAAAAAGAAGAAGCAGGCCATGGTCCTTCGCTCCTGTTGATGTCCTGCACCACTTCCGTTTTGGGCCTTTTTGGATCCTCCCCGTGTCCTCGTGTGTTGTTCAGTCCATGCTTTCTCCGGTGGTCCTGCTGTGTGTCCGGTTGTGTCTCTGTTTCTTGCTGGTGAAGCTGTTTGGGGAGTTTGGGGTTTATGCTGGTATAATATATAGTTTGGACAGAGAAATGTGATAGTGGGGCTCAGGGCGTTTGCCCCACAGCTGACGTGGGCAGCCAAATACAAGACAACTCTATACCTCCTGAGTCGAAACTTAATTTTTATTCGTTTGAACGAGAAGTATTTGAGCCATAACCGTATTTTGAAGTTTGAAGAAGGCCGTATGCAATATATAGATACTTTTCAACTCCTCGGTCGCACTTGTAATCTCACTTTGGGCAGTGCGAACATGATTGCATGAGAAAGTTGTCCTAGAAGTGCTTGGGGAGTACTAGATGACGCAACCCCCTACATTCCATGTCTTTTGGATGGGGGTTCATTCTGAACCACCGTTCACTTGGATGGTCTTTGTGTCAAAGACTCCCCGTCCACTTATAGATCTATGGTGCCAATACTGTCCAGGGTGTGTGACTCCAGAAGGAGAGAATGTGCCAACACGACGAAGAATCGGCACCGCCAGTCGCCAGTGCCGCTTCTGAACCAGGCAGGGTGACTCACGCGAAGATAACGATTTGCACAGGATACTTAACGCATGAACTGATTGATTGCCACGAACTTTGTGGCAAACAGCCATGAAGTTGCTTCATTATAGACTCATATCATAGACTGATTTGATTTCAAGGTGGTTTCCATCGGTTCCATCGGTGCCGCCCTGTAAAAAACGGTTCATTCAGTACTGTGTCCATGTGTGTGGAACGTTGTAAAACACAAATAAGTACGTCCTTACTTCGATTAAATACACCCCCCTGCACAAAACATTTAGACAACCACGTGCATATGGGGCAATTGGAACACAACACGCACTTGGGAGTTGCACCAAGACAATCGGGCTGGATGTGGGTTCAATTTTAACGCTTCCAAGAAATGCAATTTGTATCCATTTGTACTTTGCTGATAACAGCCACAGGCTGAGGGATGGATTTGAGCACCCATGGTGCAAGACCTTTGACTTGAGATCCCAAACCCAAAAAGTATTCGATGTATCTCCATGGGTTTTGAGCGATAGTTTTGCAATGGAACATGAGGAAATAGGAACCAAACGACGTGAAAACCAAAGTACTGTATTTGGGTGGCTTTGATGAGGAACACATTTTGATATGGTATCACGATGCGAAGGTCCTCGACAATGCTTTGGCCTTTTTGAGAAGGGCCTCGATATGGCTACCATTCCCGAACCCCCAATCCGTAGGCCTACACAGGGACCTCAGTCGGAGATTTTCTCCAAGTGATGTGCATTCAGACGCTCTTCTCACCCTGGCTCAACCCTTGCTCAACGAGTTTTGGACGTGACTTGGTTTTGACCCACATCCATATGAGCTTTTTAGTGTCATTGAACGCCCAAAGCAGCTGGAGAATGGAGGCACATGGCTTTAGTACATTCACTTCCTAAAACTCCGGATGCATGAAACATCATTTCAGGTCAACATCCAACGATTTTAAAGATTTTGACCTGAAATCCAATAAGTTGCCACAGAACTCCGCCGCATCTTCGAGCCTCAAACGTCATTGGTTCCACTCCCAGAACTCCGCCGCAGGGGGTGCCATACAGCTCGGGGCATCGGCCATATCAACAGCCCTATCCAGGTGCCTGACTCATACCGGGCGCGCGCGGAGCGGTTGGGGGCGGGGCGTTCCGCTGCGGCGGCGGACCTAGTAGGGCCTAGTAGCACCTAGTAGCGATGTCGGGGTCGCTCCTAGTAGCGTCCGAACGCTCCTAGGTTTCTCAGTGATTCAAGTGTCCAGGGCCCTTCTTTTCTTGGGGAGGTTGGACGCTTTCTTCACGGAAGCCTGTTCTTTGACGGACGTTCGGTCGATGATTGCTGCTGCTTTCCGATTTCCCTCACATCCTTGTCCATGCATTTGGCAACATCGATGCAGCCTGGAATCTGGAGGCTTTGTGCAACATCTCTTTTTGAACCTCGTTGGAGGGCCACCCATCCCCTCGTGCAACGAACACACGATTCTTTTCTTTGTTTTTCCGGGGAGCCCAGGCCACAACCAGCGGCTGATGTGAGTCTGGGCAGTTGGGACCGTACGCATTCCGTGAAACACCCAGGTTTGGAGCGGATGGAAGTCATTTCACTGGTACTCTTGAGTACTCTTGATTCTCAATGACTGCACGGTGCAGTGGAAGTACTAGGAGCAGTGACCAATGCCGCAGACGCGCAAGCGTCCGGTCTCGTGGGCCTAATTCGCGTGCGTACCATATTGGCAGATCTGACGGTAGGTCACGTCTGACCACCAATGCGTGTGTGGGGAACGCGGGTCGCTGCACGACCGGCTGCGCTCTTGAAGCTGCTCAAGGGTGGTATCTGAGGAAAGCTTTGTTGATGTTTGGTGAGGTTTCTAAAGTGCCCAACTTGCTTGGAAAACTGAAGACGGTAAGAAATAGACATTGGTGGTATGAGCTAATCAGATATTGAATGTTGGTACGACTGTTGTTGCAGTGATGTTGTCCCTATTGTCACTTTGCTTGAAAGAGAGGGTCAGATTCTGAGCTAGGCCAGTCAAGACTCTTTTCAGACACTCACCTTCCCAGTGGCGTTCTAGTTCACCGGGTTTGTTCGCCACTGCTTTGGTCTTCTTTTGGCTTCTTTAGGCGTACAAAGGACCCTCAGCTTTCAGGGTTTGCAGCCGCGCGCAGAGAAGTGGTGCTCGTCGCCAATGCTCCAGTGAAAAGGGGTGGAATGGAGTTCGAACTTCTCCCATGGGGCAAACAGCAAAGCTAAGATAGTGATTCTAGCCCTTTTGAAGTGGTAAAAAGCAGGTGTGTATTTATGCAAGACACAGATACATTTTCATTTTTGCAGATTTTTATACCACCAGTGCATGAGTTATCAGGATGCCAGGCATAGCAGTTCTCTAAGGCAAGATACGCTGAACATCCAGATCTGAACCAAGTTGTGGAGAGAGGATGTGGGGTACGAGACACACGAGCATCCGCATTCGGCCTGTGAATATGACCGTTTGCTGAGAACGGGATCAAAAATTGGCCTTTCATGCTCCAATGGTGAAGGAAGCAGGAAAACCTTTTCGACAGGAGATCCGGTGTGGGAGTTCTCTCTGACGCCCAGTTGGGCCAGTTTGGTATCGCACCTTTGGCTCAGCTGGATGTTTGAAAGATTTGGTAAGGCCAGCGGTGAAGGGATGTCACATTTGGGTGGTTGCTTCGGTTCATGCTCCAGGTGATCATGATTACCCCAAATGCTTTGTAGGGAAGGCCCTGCTTCACCACAACTAAGAAGGGATGGCTGAGAAAGCATCACAGGGATGGTGAGCAAAGGCCCAGTCTATTTTGAAGACTTTCCACTTCACACCTCTTCACCTCTAGGCGCCCCTGTCAACAAAGTAACGAAGTAAGTCACCATAAGTCATTCTTTGTTTTTCCTCTCGACACCGTTGTTCAGCATCCAAGTCTTGCAAACAAAAGGCTGAAGTACCTGGCACCAGACGCCGTCGGGTGAGGGACTCCCCCTTTAATGCAATGGTCGTTCGTCGCTGGGCGCTGGGCGCCGGCACGCTGGGGGCCACCGTGGCGCTGCTGAGTGCATCGCAGCGTTTAAGTCTGGCGCTCATGGAGGCGTGATTCAATGCTCAACTACTGATACACCATAATTCTGTGTATATATATATATAAAGATTATAGATGGGTTAAAGACAAACTCTTTTTTGCTCTTTAGACTCTACTTGTCAATTTTTTCCACCAATCTTGTACAGCACTTTTCACCGGGTTTCTATGATTCTGTTTGCTTCGGCTCTGCTGCGTGGAGCGTGCCCACCTGGGCTTTGTGGGGGGCATGAACTTCAAGGCCTTGATGATACCGAACCCAGAAAAGCTTCCTGAAGATCCAAGGTCCCCCAAGACAAACCGAGGCTCGAGTTGATGAACATGTTTTTTCTATTTTTTGTCTAGATGTTTCGAAAAAAAAGACTTGGAAGGGGCTTTGTTTGGGCATCTTAGGCAGTTGGAATCCTGTGGAGCCTAGGCTAGAGAGTTTCAAGAGCTTCCAGAAAGCACATGGTGGTATGCTTTTTGGACTGTCTTGGAGTAACCTGAAATGTTAGTTCAAGATTTGAGATCCGGTTCTGGCCCCATGTCCGCATGCTTGTTTCGGTGAAACCAGACATCGTTGGGAGGATCGATCCATTTTGAATCATTTTGGCGTTTCACTGAGTGAAGAAAGGAGTGTTTTAACACTCTCCATATCTCTCCATACCCCCATACCCATCTGCTATCACAAAACAGCTCTGTCAATGATTCCTTCAGTGAAGCGCTTGCCAGGACCACCGTCCCACTCCCAAGCCGCAGCTTCGCGTTGCTCGCGCACGGCTTCTCCGCGCGCGGAGCAGGGTTCAGGCTGAAGGCGTGAATGGTCTGACCAAGTCGTCCCTTCCTTCGCAGCTTTGACCCGAAAATGACTTGGTCGTCCTGCTGCAGGTCCTACCTATCACCCTTCAGGATCTCAAAGCCCCCTCCCCGTCGGCCCGGTTCCGGTCCACTCCCCGTCCTTCTCGATGGGTGTGAAAAGCGGCGAGGCAAAGCGAACTCGCTCTCGGGCGCCTTGCGGTCCACTGAGTTGTGGCAATTGGAGGCTGTGAGTGGGGAAGCAGAAGGAAGCAGACAGGTTCAGGGAACCGGTATTTCTCTGGGATTATTTTTTCGTTCTTTTTTTCACCGGCATTTTTTTCGCATTTTTTTCTGCTTCTGCTTTTGCTTTTTGCTTTTGCTTTTTGGTTTTGGCCCGCCTTTGCTTAGCCGTGGCTTCGCCCTCCTCCGGACACCCTCCCACTCTTTTAATAGTTCCCACTACCCCTACTAACACCAGTGCCTCTATCACCCAAAGAAGTCCCTATTAAATTATAGTTCCTCTCTCCTCTTTCCTCACTCCTACTTCTCCTTCGTTAAGTGGGATGCCTTTTCTGCTCCTCCCTTGTCACTGTCTCAGTCTCTCCCTCCCGCTGGCTCTGCTGCTTCGTCCCCTGACCTTTCTGCTGCTCCTGATGCTTGTAAAACACTCCCAGAAAAAGCGCGAAAAAAAACATCCCAGAAAAAGACCCGACATGCAAGTACATTTGGGCTGATTAGGCCAAATATCAACACGTAGCTTGAAGCTCTTCGTTGGACCTTTGCTCGTGTGGACAAAAGACCGACGCAGGCACAAGCAGTACGTACACACGCACACAACACACAATCTTAGATGACAGAGGCTTTGCGAACCCGGAAGAAAGAGAAGGCGCTGAGGTAGCCAGGGTGTGCCGGAATAGATTCAAAGAGGGTAAAAGGACATTCCAAAGGTACAAATAATATCGAATAATGAAAGGCAACTGAGCATAGCGGCATAGCAAGGAGTGCCCCTTGGTGCTACCTAAGACGTGCACCAACTTGCCGTACCCAAACATGTTGTTTTTCTCGTCTTAGTGCCAGGAGTCGTCGAGTCGTTTGTCTCGCAATGCTTTGAACCCTCGTGGATTTTCGTCCAACGTCGCCCGATCAACTCATCCCAGCCGTTGCTTCGCCGTAGAGAGGTTCTCACCCTCCGGCCCTCCGGTGGACAGAGGTGGACAGCGCAGGGATCCGGTCTGTTTCTGACCCCACAGGTCCGGACCAAAGTGAGAGCGTCATGTGTGACCCGCCCAGATGCTGTCGGCCACCACGCACAGCACTTCAACGAAGTTTCCTGAAAAACACACATATTTTATATATATATATAATACAAATATACGGTAAACATATACATATATATATATATAATATACATATATATATATATTTGGGTGCTGCAGATGCTGATTTGAGGCCCCTCCAGCCTTGGAGGAGATGTCTCCAGAGGCGTGGCTCCCTGCCTTTGTGCCATTTGTGCCATCAGCGACCGCGAAGAACGACCGGAACGTCGTCCCAAAGCAACGACCAAGATCGTCGGGGCAGAAATAGAGGCATGTTGTGTCTGTTCAAATCAGTTTCAACCGAAGTTCAATTGGTGGTATGGCTTGTGAAGTTGAAATCCTAACGGCTCCTCAAGTCCAGGCTTTTCTGCTTGGAGGCTCCCTACAATTCGAATCCGGGATCCCAGGTTCTCTGTGAGGTTCTCTCTAGGGTCTTGTTTGGAGTGTGGACAGCCTGATGTTTCAGCGCGGCAAGGCGCGAACGAATGCTGTTGCATCGAACGTCGGTGTCTGATGGCCTGTTTCAATCAAGAGTCATGGATCTCCATCCAGTGCTTAGAGTCCATCCAATGCCTCTGGATGGACAAGTGAAGATCTCAATGAACATGCGTGATTTCCTGTGTGGGAGTCCCTCCTCCCCCACACGCCTCATGATAGCATCCTGAAACAGCTCTCTCCCTCAGCGTGAAGCCATCACGTCGCCAGGCCCCCCGCGCGCGGCCGTTTGAAGCGGACGCTGTCCTGCGCACCGCGCAAGCGGGCGACGTCACACGCGCGGTGCGCTGGCTGGAGACGCTGCTGAGCCGTGGCTTTTTGGACACCGAGCGCCTGGGTTTCACTGATGCCATCAGTGATCATCAGTGGTTTCTGGTGGTTCGCTTATCACGTTTGCTTCAAGGCTGTATACAACCGGTCTCAGATCCTTGAAAGGAAACATAGAAACATCAAAGTCAAGCGTTGATTGAGTGCATTCCCATGCTCTTGTGCTTCTCCTAAAATGCATTTTCCCTTTAAAAACCGGTTTGGAGCCGCCGATGACCGGAGCCTCACCTGAGCTCCATGGACCACTGCTTCGGGGCCATTGCCGTGTCCTTCGCACGCCAGGCGCTTCCAACCCGTCGCTTCCGGGCGGGTCCTTTGGAGCATGTTTTGGGACCTACCCTCCCTCCAATAATCATGGAAGTGGACCAACAGCCTCCTGGAATACTTACAAGCAAGAGATTGTCTACAAGCAAGAGTTTGTTTCAGGGAGTGTATTTGAGCTGAACAGGCAAATGAATCAACTCAACCAGTCTGACATGGAGGGGAGTGATACACACTGTTTTTAACTCTCGATTGACATCTGGCCAGGTTGGGGTGGTCACTACTTGGGGACTTGATAGACGATCAGATCAAGAGAGTAAGATGATTTGCCTTTGACCAGCCATTAGCCGAGAGAGTTCTATACTGCTCCAAATAATTGAATGGATCGCGCTTGTTCTTGTTCACTCAAACAAGGCCTTTTTGCGCCACCTGGCTTTCTGCCTTCTGCCTGCCCCGTCGCCCCGTCGCTTGCGCAGGGCAATGCCGGGGGCGCCTTGCGCTATGTGCAGCGCATCCAGACGGCCGGCCGCCGGCCTGAGGCCCGGGCCTCCCACCGAGCTATCCAAGCGGTTTGTTTGGGGATGAAGCTGGTCGCTTTTCTTTTCATCAACCATCAATGACCATCAACATCCTTATATAGTTATTATATATAATTACAATGGTATGATAGACCATTCAGATGTTTTCGATGATCTTCCCAGCCACAAGACGGGTAGTGGTGCCTGGTCTGCCTGGTGCCTTTTCTGGCTGAATTGGTCAGTTCGATGGAATTCCTTGGAACCACTTGTGGACAAACACACACGCACACACTTGAGAAGGTTGCTCCGTGGAGCTTGTCTTCAGGCAGTTCGCGGTGAGCATTAGCACTTTAAGGTTAGGCCCTATGAAGAACGGAAAGGCGAAAGAGTCTGAGAACAATATGGTTTAAATCAATGAGTCATTTTAAAAAAAATCGATGCAGGTACAAGATACTGCGTCCAGTATCTCATCCAACCGAACACGATAGCTTTGTTAGCACGGCTAGGTGAACGGTCGCCGTGCCCCCTGCTGAGTTTCTGTACAGCACTTCAATTCAGCGAGCACGAGTAGCTAGAATAGTTCCCTTGGAAACAGGGGTTGACACACACAGAAAGCCGAAACCGGCGCAACTTGTATAGGTAGTTGTAAGCATGCAAGTGATGTGTTCCTCGGTCTGTAGCAAGCCAGCTGACTTTTTCTCGACGAGGCCGCAGCTCAATGTTCTTTGGGATGTCCTTGCACTTGACCTCTTCTTTTCTTTTTCATTCTTTTTCTCTTTCTTTTTCGTTTTCTTTTTCTTTTCTTTTTGCCATGGGGTGGAGGGGTGTTCGGGCGTGCATTGACTAAACGAGCCTGGATGCCACCTAACTAGCCTGAAGAAAAGAACAAGACAAGCGAAAAAGCAAGGAAAGAAAGGAAAGGTGCAGGGGGTGCAGGGGGTGGGGCAGGGCGTGCCTTGACTAAACGAGCCTGGATCACACCTAACTAGCCTGAAGGAAGGAACAAGACAAACGAAAAGGCAAGGAAAACAAGAAAAGGTGCAGGGGGTGTGGGGTGGGGTAAATGCTCTTACGAGCGAACGGCACGGGCCCGGAGGCACTGGCCGAGAAGCCGAAATCGGCGCATATAAATCGCTGTGAAAGTTAAAAAGTGGAAAGACTTCTCCGGGGTGAGACTGGATTCAGTTGAACTCTGCAGTATACTTCAGTAAGACTTTCAATGAACTCTGCAGTACAATTCACGTGTACAAGGTGAGACGTTCCAAGCAAGCTGATTTCGAGCAGGAAAATTCAGTCGAGTGAACTTCAGAAAAGCTTCAGGGAAATTACTCCTGCGGTGAGGAGTGAGAAGGTTCTTGCAGTAACGGCGCCCCGTAGGGATCACACAGCTTACCACGTGGGAAGAAGCTGCGGAAACACACTTGAGAAGGTTGCTCCGTGGAGCTTGTCTTCAGGCAGTTCGCGGTGAGCATTAGCACTTTAAGGTTAGGCCCTATGAAGAACGGAAAGGCGAAAGAGTCCGAGAACAATATGGTTTAAATCAATGAGTCAGTTTAAAAAATCGATGCAGGTACAAGATACTGCGTCCAGTATCTCATCCAACCGAACACCATAGCTTTGTTAGCACGGCTAGGTGAACGGTCGCCGTGCCCCCTGCTGAGTTCCTGTACAGCACTTCAGTTCAGCGAGCACGAGTAGCTAGAATAGTTCCCTTGGAAACAGGGGTTGACACACACACACCCCTTCAAATCGCAGGAATGCATTTCCGGTTTCGCCGCGGCGGGGTGAAGACCTCTGCCCGTCAGGCAGAGGTCTTCCAAGAGAGCATCTTGGCGCTGGCAGAAGGTGGGCCTTTTTTCAAGGGAGGTCTCGGCTTTGAAAGGACGTCCATGAGACTCCTTTCAGCCAAGTGCTGAACAAAGCACTCATTTGCAATCGATGTGCTCCCCCAAACCAGGGTCTGGCGATGCGAAGAAAACTGCTTGGGCTCCTGGCCTTTCCTCTTGCAACGTGTTCATAGTCAAGGGTGGGTTCTTTGTCCTTCTCCTGTGCTTGAAGCACCTATGCATGCTGGGGAAACCTTTCCTGGGGATTCTAACAGAAGAGTCGAGCCGAAGAGCTGAGAATACTCCGACACACCACTGCATGTCGGGACCCCTCCGTTGCGACATGAGGACGGGTTACGGTTTCAGAGTAGGTGGCACTGGCACTGGCACGATGACTTAGACAGATGGCGGCCATATAAACCACCTTTTTGGGGGGGATTGTGCCATCTACTCTCGATCCACTATATATATATATATCTACTGGATGGGTTTCTTGGGCTCGTTCAGCCTCGCATCCATTCAGCCAAGCCTCCCACGGTGTTTGCCGAAAGTCACGACCTGTTAGAGGAGAGATCTATTTTTGTAAGATATGTCGATTTCACCATCTGTGAAGCCTGTTTTGTAGACTCTTGAGGACCATAACCCTGAAGAGGACTTCCAATTCAAACGGGGGAGGTTATTGATCAAGAGACAAACCACGCAAAAATGGTTGTGACTCCCTTTTCCTCCCTGCAGAGACTTCCTCAACCCTGGCTCCGGTCACCAATGGACCCAGTGAGCCATGGCTGACGACCCCCCGATCCCTGTCAGGTGAGGATCCTGATCCTGGCAAGACAGAGACAACTCTGGTGCTGCTCCAGTGGCGTTGGCCGAACCATTTCGTGTCGAGCAGTCAGTGTTTGTTCCAGTAGGACCAAGCAGTCCAGTGTGTGTATATATATATATATGGTACCCCCCCTCCTATACCCACCTCCTATCATGTTCTACTGGTATTTACAGTGTTTTCTGGCCATTTTGCATTATTATTTTTGGCGGTGTTGCGCGTCATCGACTTCCAGGCGGAAAAGTGCTGAAAGTGAAAGCTGGCACACAACACATTGATAGAGCGTGGAACGTTTTGAAAGAACATCTGCGCCTTAATCAGCATGTCAAAGCCGGTGCACAAGCCATCTGTCGACGAATTCGTGCGGCCCAGTATGAGTACTGGTTTCGGGGCCAAGACATGTGGCATCACACTGCCAACTTGGTTGCAGCCACAATGTCTAATTATGCGCACGCAAAGTGAGTAGCTGCCGCGGGGTCAAACAAATGCATCTGTCATCTGCATTCTCGTGAACTTTTCTGTGCATTTGTCATGCATCTGTCTCACACACACAACCATCTGAAACATGCACAGAATGGTCTGAAACATGCGCAGAAAGGTGGGTATAGGATGGGGGGTAGCATATATATATATATATTCCATATGTTATAACATATATATATATACACATATTTGCAAAGAACTAGTCATTCCTCCTGTCTGGAGGGGTGTCGGTGTTTTGCCTACTAGGTGCTTGGAATGGCCCTCCTTTACACACATTGGCTCAGTCTTTGCGGCCAAAGGTCCTTCGGTTTTCTGAGAATCGGGTTCCTGTATGGTGGTGGAAAGTCGTTGGGTCGTTGGATTGGATGGAAAGTGACCCATACAGTCTTGAAACGGTCCCAAGACATTCACTAGACAAATTTATTTTGCCAGGAGCCCCTGGTAGCGTCATTGCTCCTAGTAGCGATGCCACCTTGTGGGTCCAGGCAGATGTGCCACTGAGGCAGATGTGTCGCGCAGGCCATGCGCCGGACTTGGACTGCTGCAAGGCCATCCTGCGGAGCCTAGGCGGACCCGAACGGTCGGCAAGTCCGTTGAGCCTTTAAACGGCGCCGTTGAGCTTTTAGATGCGCTTTTCTTACTTTCTCTGACTCTCTGGCCTGATCTTAAGCCCAAAAGCTTTGACGGATCGCATTCCTATTGTGACTTTCCACCACTTGCTAGACAGGTCAGTTCTGTTCTGTATGCGGAGTCTGCAACGAAAGCAAGACAAACAGAAATCCCGTTGACCCCAACCTCAGCAAAATGCAGTCAAGAGAGGTGGCAAAGAACAACGAATCACCTACCATGCCTGCTATAACTAGGTCCACAGCTCATAGACGGCCGTGAAGTGTTGTAGGGTTTTTGAGACGTCGCAGAGGTCGTAAATCTTTAGCCTGATTTGGTTTCTGACGTTCTTAGGAAATTGTAGCGTTGAGACCGCAACCTGACTGGGGAGAGCTGAACATGGGCTACAACAAGACGCACGTTTTGTTTGTTTTTGCAACTTCCAAACTACTTATTTTCTTCTTTACAGAGCAGACGTGTTCCTATTTATTCATGGACCTTGAACCTGACTGGGGGCAGATGACGGCAGATGTGGAAAGTTTCGAAGCGCGCGTCTCGCCGTAGCAGAATGCACATTTTTTTACTTCAGCGCCGTCAAGTTCTTGTTAAGAACCAGTCGGCAGAGTCTCTGATATGCTTTTGGCGATATGGGTACATGTCGATGTACTCAGAGACCCCACCCCCACCCCCACCCCATACCAGGTTCTCAGAAAGCAAGTCAGTTCCGTAAAAAGCAATTGCGTGGCATGTGCAACGTTTGTCATTAGCCCCACCCCAACCCCCACCCCACCCCATGTTCTCACTTAGCAAGTCTGTTCCGTACCTAGCAAGTGCGACCCCATCCAACCTCCGCACCTCTCCCCAGTGGCCCTCAAAGAAACCTCAAAAGTACTGCAAATAACATTTACAACAAAAACAACACAAAAAAGACACGAAACACCACGGCCGTTTACACACTGTCCAACTACATGCAGAGTCGATGGCAACTTTAGGCCATTCAGATCAGATGCGCGCTTGAGTTCGGTGAACCCGCTGCAGGCCTGCGGAACCAGGATCCTGCAGCGGCCGCCAGGCAGTTCTTGAAATGTGTCCATGCGCACGTGTTTGGGACGTTGTGAGGAATAAAGATCCCGGAAGTTTGCTTGTGATTTTGAACATTTGACATTTTTTTGACATATTTTAGGTGGTGTGAGATCGGTTTCCAGCTTCCTTTTTTTCGGTGTCCTCCTGAACACTGAAAACCATGTCTTCGGTGTCCTCCTGAAAACCATGTCAAGGCCTGAAGAAAGATCCACCTTTGGGCCAGTCTCCCGAAATCCCGGAAGAAAGGGAAGTGTATAGCTGTAAAGTTCACGCTGTGCACTTGTGTTTCGGCAGTTCGAACTGTTTTCGACCTTTACTTACCATCGTTCCCTCTCAAGACTGGGAGGGCAGTTGCCTAGCAAAAGGCGCGGCCGCGGCGCTTCAGTGCGCCCTCTTGTTTTCGTGTTTGCGGACTTCGGGTGCCGCTGCTACCCTTTTTCGCATTGGTAGCGGAGCCTCCTCCGGGGGGGCTCCGAGTCCTTTGCGCGAAGAAGAACGAGGTTCTGCATAAGTCCTTTGTCACGAACCCTTGGCCGAGCTCTTTTGTTTCCTCGTTGAAGAGCCCTTTCGGTCTTGGCTACTTGTTTGAGAATGCCACCAACGACATCGGCTGCAGAAGGTTCCAAGGATGGTGACTACCTCAACCTGCGCGACTCCTTCGTTCCACTGTTCAGTGGACAACCCCAGGACTACAAAGAGTACAGAAAGAGGCTGATGCTCTACCACCACAAGATGAAGATCAGCAAGCGCTCAGCCGAGTCCGTCCTGAACATCCTGGGAAGTTTTCAGGGTGTGACGTGGCGGTTGTTCGAGGACTTCTCAATTGAAGAGGCTGAGAAAGAGGATGGCTTCAGCAAGATCATCACCAAGCTCGACAAGAACTTCGAGTATGACGATCGTGTGCTCCTTCCGAATGACTTTGAGGAGTACTTCAACTTGTTGCAAAGGAAGCCACAGCAAAGCCTCCTGTCCTTCGTCACCGACCATGACACCGCCTATCGTCGTTTGACTGCCCACAATGTGACTCTTCCAGTCCAGGTTCAAGGATGGCATCTACTCCGACGTGCTGCTTTGTCAAAGGAGCAACGCCAAATGGTGACGCTGAAGGCTCCTACGTTGGAAAAGAATCCTGTCATCGAAGCCCTGTACCTGCTGTTCGGTCAGGACTACAAAGCAGGCGGCTGGAATGCTGAACGTGATCGAAAGTTCAACCGCTGGAAGGGCCGCGGCTACGCCGCATTCGATGAAGAAGATGCCTACTGGTCCGAGCAACCCTGGACAGAAGACGCCTACTATGAGGCCGACGACTGGTATGATGACACTGCCCCTGACGATGAGGCTGACTTTGACTATGATGCCATCTACTACGGCGAAGAGGATGAACCTGGAGAACACCATGACCTGTCCGAAGATCCTCAAGAGTTGGCCGAAGAGTATGACCACGCCTATGCCACCTACTTGGATGCCCGGCAAAGATTCCAGCAGCTCAAGTTGGCTCGTGGCTACCTGCCGATCGTCGCCCTCACTGATAGCCAGAACGCTTCGCCCGCCTCTGGATCCTCTTCACCTTCGAAGGGCGCCGGCAAGAACAAAGGAAAGGGTAAGAGCAAAAGCAAAGGAAAAGGAAAGAATGTGGTGCGCGCTATCCACCCTCCTCAGGTGGAAAGGCTGATCCAAAAGGTCGTGCAAAGGCAACTACATGCCTTCGTTGTGGCCAACCAGGTCATTGGGCAGCGCAATGTCCACAAGGTGCGAAATCACCCTCATCGTCCAACAAGAGACCTGCACCCACTGAGGGTATGGCCTTGCAGAATGAGACCGCCTTGGTCCTGTTCCAGGATGAGATGGGCACCGACCGACCGGATGCCACCATGCTTGACCCAGGTGCATCTGCCTTCCTGTGCGGATATGGTCCATTCGGCCGCTATTTGAGCCACTTGCACTCCATGAACTACCCCATCAACACCATCCGCTTTGCTCGATGTGACCGCCAGTTCCATTTTGGTGGCGATGCATCCTCACGAGCTTCATGGACAGTGGATCTCCCGGTGATGATCGATGGCCAGTTCGGCACGATCCAATGCTACCTGGTTCCTGGCAACACGCCAATGTTGATGGGCCGACCTGTGATTGAGGCTCTGCACATGGGCATCGACTTCAGCCAGAAGCGCATTCGCTTTGGGCAATCGCCTTGGACCTCAGTGCTTGTGGGCCGCCATGGCGAGTACTTGTTGAGCCTCACCACTGGCATGGAGGAAGTACCTGATCCCACGAAAACCCTATTCAGCCTTCGCATTGTTGAGGAAACACCTGGCAGCCATCTCCACTTCGAGGACTTTAACAAGCTCGAACATGTGTTTCAGGCTGAAGATGTGGCTCTAGCAGGTGGCGAATTGCAATCCACTCGCCTTCATCGACATGCCCTTCGAACCATGGAGACTCAGTTGGTCACTACCTCAAACTCCACCGAAGCCTATATCACTCAGGAGCTTCACAATCCTCCCGACCATCGACGAGTTCTCTGGGAAATCTACTGTGGCAAAGCTCACACTGGCCACATCGCAGAGGAGCTTGGCATGAAGGTGGAAAGATTTTCTTTGGACAATGGCTGGGACTTCAACCTCATCAGCCATCAACAACAGCTACTCCAACGACTTGATGAAGAAGAACCTGATGAAGTGCTGGTGGCACCAGAATGCCGCCTGTGGTCAAGAATGCAAACCTTGGCTTGTCGCACCCCTGCGCAGCAAGAAGCCTTGAAGGCTCGACGTGAGCACCACCATCGTCGCCATCTCTGCTTTGCCAAGCGCATCTACCTACGACAGGTGACCAATGCACGGCATGCCCACTTGGAGCAGCCCCGACGTGCCTTGAGCTGGAACACGATGGCTCTCCGAGATCTTCCTGGTTACTATGCCGACTTCGACCAATGCCGCTATGGAGCAATGTGCATGGACACCGACGGCATCTGGCGACCCGTCCAAAAGAGCACTCGCCTGTTGACCACAAAGCAGGCTGTTTTAGAGGCCTTCCAGCTGAAGTGTGACCATGACCACTACCACTGCCCCTTGGAAGGCTCTGCTCCTGGCTATGGCCGCCGGACCACCTACTTGGAAGACTACCAACCTGGCTTTGCAGCGACACTGGCTGCTGCCTTGGCTCGTCCTGAGACCGCTCAACTGTGGGACACCGCCTATGTGGTCGATGAAACTGGCAAGAAAGAGACCGGACACCTCCTCAAGCTCAAGTCTGAACACCGACAAGATGCTCTTCGAACGGTGCAACGGCTACACCGAAACCTTGGCCATCCGGCACCTGATGCTCTGGCTGATCTGTTGACCGCCAGAGGAGCTCATCCCACTGTGATCGCCGCTGCCAAGGAGTACAAGTGTGTGGCATGTCTGAAGCACAAGAAGCCCAACCAGGTTGCTCCATCATCCATGCCACAGCCCAAGACCTTCAACGAAGTGATTCAGGCTGACGTTTTCTACCTCAAGCCAGCAGACCGCAAGTTTGCAGTGCTGAGCATAGTTGATGTTGGCACCAAGTTCATGGCAGCCTACCTGCTTCATGAGGAGACCTCCAAGTCTTACATCACCGCTCTGGAAAAGATGTGGGTTCGCCATTTTGGCCCTCCCAAGAAGCTGATCTCCGATGAAGGCCGACCTTGGCTTGGTGCACCGTTTGAATCTTGGACAAGCTCACTTGGCATTGACCATCAAGTAGCACCAGGAGAAGCTCATGAGCGCCTTTCGTTGGTTGAGCGCCGTCATGCAGTGCTGCGCCGTGCCTGTGAGGTCTACATGGATGACCGCAAGCTCAACGACGCTGCTGGCATCAAGGAAGCACTTTGCTATGTGATCCCACAGCAGAACGCCACACCTGCAGTTGCTGGCTTCTCGCCCAGTCAATGGGTTCTTGGCTTCCAACCTGAGCTGTCCCACCTCATGGACTCCAACCTCAATGCAGCTCAACTTGCTGGCAACAACAGCTCATTTGAGGAGAACCTTGAGCGGCGAACTGCTGCAAAGATGGCACTGGCATCTGCTGATGCTGACTCCAAGCTGCGACGAGCTCTCAGTCGCAAGTACCAGGGCCAGAATCGAGTTTTCCAGTTGGGAGAAAGAGTATGGTTTTGGCGTGATGCTCGCCAAGGAGCACTGAACAAGATCAGATGGCTTGGTCCTGCCCACGTGGTTCTTCGTGAAGAAGATGCTGAAGCTGATACTGCAGCTCCAAAGGTCAAGACCTACTGGCTCGCCTACAAAACACAGTTGATTCGTGCTGCGCCTCACCATGTCCGTGCAGACATCCTCGGACCTCAGCACGTGCTCGAAGACCTGCAATCAGCCCTCAACAAAGTGAGACAGCTGAAATCCCGTGGAGTCACTAGATTCTACGACTTGAGACGGGTGAACCGCCAACAGCTGGATGATGTCGAGGAAGATGAACAACACACTGACCCTGATGGTCCTCTGCTGGAAGAAGATGATGATGAGCCTCCCAGGCATCGCTTTCGCCTGGAGCCACCCGTGCCGACTGCAGAAGCACCACCACAGATCATCGTGCCCGATGATGAATATGAGCCTACCTCACCTGCTCATTCCAGCTTTGCACCGACGTCTCCCAGAGCACCACCAACACCAGTGATGGCAGAACCAAACATGTTGCTGCCCATGGCCCCAGCCGAGATCACTGTACCAGGTTCACCAGCCACCACTAGGTCCCGCTCACGGGCTCCTACTGTGGTCGAACCCAGCGAAGAGCCAACCATACCATCTGCAGCACCCACACCACATGCTGCATCACCACAGGCCATTGCAACAGCACCTCAAGCATCAATGTCAGGGCCTTCACTGGACCCTGACACTGCAGCATTGTATGAACCAGTCGATGCTGAAACCTTTCAACAACGACGAGTTCGCTTCAACAGACAGGAGACACTTAGTTTTGGCCCCCTGCGAAGACAGCGCATTGGGTCACCACAGCCATACAACACGACGTCGCAAACAACAACACCAGAAGCAGAACACAACAGTGCAGAGCACAACACACAAGCAACAGCGGCAGCCGCAGAAGCGCCAGCCCAAGTATCGGCAGCTCCAGCTGCTTCGGATGATCCTGCTCTCTATGCAAGTCAGAAGGCACCTGATCACGCCTTGCTGAATCATGCCTTCCAAGTCTCCGGCATTGAAGCCAACTGCCTGCCAAAAGGTTGGACCTATGAGAATGGCTACTTCCAGCTCGACAAGAGAGACCGCGACTTCTGGGAAGTCAAAGCCGGATGTTTGATCAGACACCATGTGATCCCTCGACGATCCAAGATGTGCCTGCACCAATTGCCAAAAGACAGCCCCTTCACCTCAGATCAGATTGATCTGGTTCGGGTGACCATTATGTATGACAACAACGGCAAAAGCATCCAACAGACCGACGATGGCTACACGGCTTCCACTCCCTTGGATCGCTCATGGACTGGAGTCACGATCTTCCAGATCAAAGGCGACCTTCGTCGAGAGATGGCCATGTTCGCTAAGGCCCCACTTCAAGGAGCACGACAGCTTGGCAAGGAGACCAAACTCCGGCACGCCAAAAGCTTCAAGAAAGACAAGAACAAGAACAACCTCTCGGAGCGCCACATGACTCCTGATGAGCGAGCAGCCTTCAAAGCTGCAAAGGTCAAAGAGTTGCAATCCTTCTTTGACAACCACGTCTGGCAGTTCGAGACCACCAGAGAAGCTGAGCCCAGTCGGACGCTGACCAGTCGCATGCTGCTGAAGTGGTCAAAGAATCCTGATGGCAGCCCCCGTGCCAAAGCCAGGCTCATTGTCAGAGGCTTCATGGACCCAGACGCTTGGGAAGGAACTGTTCCAACCTCATCGCCCACAACCACGAGGCTGTCGAGATCCATGTTGTTGAGTTTGGCCTCCACCATGCAGTGGCCAATCTGGACTTCAGACATAGCAACCGCCTTCCTGCAGGGTCGACCTCAGACACGCAAGTTGTGGGTGCAGCTTCCTCAAGAGTGTTTGCAGTTGCTTGGAGCTACAGCTGACACCCGTATGTTGCTTCTCAAGCCCTGCTACGGCCAGATCGATGCCCCGAGATCTTGGTTCATGGCTGCAGTTGATAAGCTGAGCGCTATGGGCCTCCGACAGCATCCTCAAGACCCTTGCTGCTTCTTGATCTATGAAGGTGACCTCAACCCTGAGTATGACACCACAGCTGAGCACTCCAACCTGCTTGGACCTCATGGCCTATGTGGTATGGTCATCATGCACGTCGATGACATGCTTGGTTGCGGTTCGCCATCCTCCCAGTGCTACAACGACACCATCACCAAGCTGAAGAGCACCTTCAACTTCCGTGAATGGAAAACTGGTGATGATGGAAAGCCCTTGACCTATTGTGGTTGTGACATTCAAGTCAAGGATGATGGTCTCCTCCTCAACCAGACCAGCTACATGGGAAAGGTGAAACCGATCACCTACGACAAGAAGCGCAGCCTCACCGATGCGCTCAATCAGCGTGAGTTGACACAGCTGAGAGGACTTCTTGGTTCACTTCAATGGCCCGCAGTTCAAAGCAATCCTCACTTGCAGAGCAGCACCTCGATCCTGAGCGGTCATGTCACCAAGGCCACGCTTCAGACAGTGGCCGACACAAATCGCCTGCTGCGTTTTGCAAAAGAAAATGCTGATGTTGGCCTACAGTACAGCCACCTGGGCGAAGTTTCAGAACTTTGTTTGGTATGTTTTTTTGATGCTGCCTTTGCCACCCGCAGTGACGGAGCCTCACAAGCTGGCTATGTGATCCTGATGGTCAACAAAGCTTTGCTTCAGGCCAATGGTCCCGAAGGAGCCTACCACGTGTTGGATTGGCGCAGTTTGAAAACGCCAAGAGTTGCACGCTCTTCCTTGGGCGCCGAAGCACAAAGCGGTGGTCAAGCTTGCGATGCCTTGGAGCATGCCAGCATCTACTGGAGCTTGTTGGTTGACCCTCGCCAGCGACTCCAAGAGCTCTTGGACGCTCCATCCTTGTTGTCGCCCACCATGATCACGGACGCCAAAGCCCTTTACGACTCCTATCACCGAGAAGGAGTCGGAAGCTCTGTGGTTGACAAGCGAGTTTCGCTTGAGATCCGTGTGATGAAGGATCGCCTGTCTTCACTGGGCGGTTCTTTGAGGTGGATGTCATCGGAGCGCCAACTGGCTGACGGTTTGACAAAAGAGTCGGCCAGAGCACTTCTTGCACAACGGCTACGTCACGGTCGTTTGAAGCTTGTTTGGGACCCCTCATACAAAGCTGCCAAGAAGAAGACAAAAGCTGAGCTCCAACAGAGTCTTGCTGAAAGCATCCATGTGGTACCACCACATGTGATCAATGAGGAACCTGAAAGCATCCATGTGGTACCACCACATGTGATCAATGAGGAACCCGAAAGCATCCATGTGGTACCACCACATGTGATCAATGAGGAACCCAACCTCCACGAGGAGCACCAGCAGCCCATCGACGAGAATCCTGCGGAGAATGACGTGAATGTCGATGAGCAGGTGTTTTGGAATGAAGAGATTTTTCGGAATTCCAAGGTTCCTGTGAATGTCATGTTTGCCAGGACCGACCGGAAGCTTGAGTATGTCTCCGACAGTCCGAGCCATGTCGGAAGCCGCCCGCTCGAGTCCTACCGCGGTCGTAAGACGAATTTCATGTTTTGGTTTTTGCTTTTGTTCATGGCCCCGCAGCTGGTCACGGCCGATTCGGCCAATGTGGAACCTGAAGCTGGAATGGATTGGTTTGGAACTGTTTTGTGCACCCTCCTTCTACTTTTTTTGAGCACAGCCTGCATGGTTGGTCGATGGAGCCATGATGCACACCACCGAGTACCACCCCAGGTCACTGAGGCTGCAGTCCAAAAGGATGAAGCGATCATCCCAGCTCGCCTTAGAGAAGAAGTCAAACGCCTGAAGCAGGAAGTCCTGCGCTGGAGTTCCAAAGCCGAGGAGTCCCGCCTTGCTGCTGTCGAAGCCACGACAGCGATGAATCTGGTTCTGAGAAACCAGAATGCTGCTGAGACCCTTGCACAGGAAGCCTCCCAGATCCTGAAGATCGCCCTGAGGCAGATGGATGAGCATGGAAATGAATGCCCCTTCTACAATGGCATGATCATCAGCCGGCATGGCGCCAGATGGCACACGACCTTGAACTGTTCAAGCCTGGCCGGAAGAGATGAAAGCCTGCAGCGGCGAGTAGATTTCTGCCGCCTTTGTAGTTTGAGGGTGATTCCACCTGACCTTGTCGATGATCGGTCAGGCTCATCTGTGCGGACCTTGGTCTACCAATGGCTGGACCGGTTCGAACAGCGGAACTGGGGTGATGACGAAGGACTCTCCCCCATGTAAAGTTCACGCTGTGCACTTGTGTTTCGGCAGTTCGAACTGTTTTCGACCTTTACTTACCATCGTTCCCTCTCAAGACTGGGAGGGCAGTTGCCTAGCAAAAGGCGCGGCCGCGGCGCTTCAGTGCGCCCTCTTGTTTTCGTGTTTGCGGACTTCGGGTGCCGCTGCTACCCTTTTTCGCATTCCCGGAAGAAAGGGAAGTGTATAGCTGTTTTGGGACAACGCAAGGAAGACCCCCCAAGAATCACTCCATGATCTTCAGGGGATTTATATAACAAAAAACGGCTCCACCTTGCCTTGCCTGGAGTAGAAGCCAACTGCAAGCAGCCCGATGAGATAGCCGGTGGATCGCACCCATGGCCTTTTACTATCGGCCGGTTGATTAGTAGAGGAACCCCCCCAATATGCATATATATATATATATTTATATACACACAGTATATATATGTATATGCTGTATATGCATCGACCCCCTCCATTTTTTCCAAAAAGGACATCATCGAGGAGTCCCACCGAGGGTGATGTGGGAGGGTCTCTTTCCACCGTGATGTGGGAGCCACGCATGACCTGTAGGGTTTGGTCCACCAGCGGGGACGGACTGCCGTTGGGTCAAGCAGTGGAGGGGAGCCTTGACCAGCGGATGTGGGCCAGCATGAAGAAAGCAAGTGCGATAAAGAATTCCACCTAGACTGTTTTGATGTATTTTTTTCTTCTGGGACTGCCCCCCCCCCCCAAAAAAGCATCCTCGATGAGTTCAGTGATGGAAGGATGGACCCAGCATTGTCATGCTTCTCTCCAGGTGGATGGAGAACGAGATGCCGAAACTGGGCGCCCCTCGGTGCGCGCTGAAGCGACTCCGCAACTGGACGGACCGAAGGTATGGTCACTGGACGGACCGGGGCTGCGTGTGTGGCTGAAACCGGGTCGCCGAGGTGGAGCCAGATGACGAGGCTCGAGAAATCCTGGTGGAGGCCTTTTTCCTGCAAGGCCAGACAGAGATCCACAGACTGAGGTTGATTTGTAGGTGGACACACTCGCGTGAAGGCTTCGAAGAAATGGAGATAAATACAGGATCAGATATGGAATAAGGGAGGAGTTCTTGGAAGATGGATCATTTGGGATGCGTCAAAAGTTGCTGTTTGGCTTTGCTTCAAGGTATGGGTTTTGCTTTGTAGCGAGAATGACTGAAAACTGCTCGTAAACTTGAGAGCCTCAAAGTACTTGTACGTGATTCCTGGCAGAAGACCCAAGCAAATTGGAGCAGGCGGACTAGTGACTAGTGACTAGTGGGATCTTACCAAAGGGCCCACAGGCCCACACACTTGAATATTCCACAGGTCCATAGACTGAATCTATCTAAGGTGAGAGAAAGGGCATACCTTTAAAAAAGTAAATCTCTCTCTCTATACACCTAGCTAGCTAGTGTTACTTGGTATATAACGAGTAAGAAGCATGGACTATGACCGACATCACAACCGATGGATTCGCATGTGGTTTTAATGCTGCGAGGCCTTCGGAGAGGTGCGGCCAGCTGGCTCAGCTCCTTGAGGAGGGGATGTGCTTGGTGCGGATCGGGAAGGCAGAGAGGCTGAGATTCGGTGTTTTTTGGTGGCAGATTTGACTGCTTCAGTACGGCAATCACATCAGCCTCAAAGCCGAAGGTCAACAGCTGGGCCCAGTTCGAATTTTCTGATCCTCGGGCTGGGTGGGGTCTTTCCAGAGCTATTCCAGAGCCATTGATGCCAAAAAGTAACTCACAGTGCTCTGCAAGTGGTCAAGGTCATTCTCTTTTGGGGGTCCCGGTACGTGATCTTTTCTTTGTCCAGCACGCATCCGCACGCCAAGCACTCTCCGGCCCAAGAGGGTGTTGTGATGGAAACACGTTGAATTCGTGTTGAGTGACTGAGAAAAGCCAGCAATTCTTGAGTTTGGTGGGCAAGATCTGTCTGAAGTGCAAGTTTCATCTCTAGTGTATGTTGAAGAACTTTCTTGAAAGCACGTGCAGAATCCTGGGAGCTTTCAGGGTCAGCGTCTGCTTTCAGCTTCCTGTGTAGACGCACTTCCACAAGTCTTGCGCTCCAATGAACGCCTAAGCTCACGACTTGTGGCTTAATGGTCAGGCTTCCTCTCTTGAATGGGTAGGACGTCCACAGGCCGGACGTATCGAGCTCCGACGTGCCGGTTTGTCCAGGAACGGCCCTTCCATGCGATTGCTGGCACTGCTTCTTGGACAGGGTGGAGATCCGATCCGAGTTCCAGTACCTCCGGTTCTCTGCTTCGTAGAAGATTCTGCGAGTTCAGGCTCGTTGCCTTTTTGGACCCTTGTATTTTGGACCAATCCTCCGCGCAAGGCACGCACAGCAGGTTTTTCTGCGCACACACACACGTCCCTCACACGCGTTTCTTCAGGGCGAAGATCGTGGGGACACCGGTGGCGCCACCAAGGTTGCGCGACCGCCTCCTACAAAGCGATGAGGTGGGACACCTAGGAGGGTGCGGTGGGTGCCCCTCTTTGCCAATCAAGGTGTTTTTTTGCAGACGCAGATGTTGTGGAACTTCAATTTTGCAGTTCGTTGGGACTTCAAGTCTTGTGTCTGCAACGTAGAAATTGAAGTTTCCAAGTTTCCAAGAATCGTCAGTGTGTTGCCAACAGACACTGTCTCACATATCTTCTGCCGCAAAGCGTTGCTAGCTGGCCTCAAAATTCCCTGCCGTTAGGCATACAGTTTCGTTCTTTGAGGCAAGCGACATGTCCACCGGGCTTCCGATCAAGATGTCATAAGCAGAGCTGGACAAGTTGTTGCAGAATCTTCAAGACTTGACTCTGAACTGTGGGTATGTGACATCTTCATTTCAACCACAGCTATACTTGGAAAGCTGTAAAAAATTGACCAGTTGCAGTCAGCTGACGGCTAAGTCACGCTAGGTGGACGATCTGAAGTATTGGTTGGGCCGGCCTCAGCTGGGACATCTTCGAAGGACGGACGGCTTTGCGATTCGCTTCGCGCTCAGATGAAACAGGTCTGGACCATCGGGACGAGGTCACCGTGGTCGAACGCAGATTCTCGAGTGGATTTGGAGCTCCCGGAAGCCACTCCACCCTCAGGAGCCAGCGCTTGGTGAAGAAGCTCCTGAAGCTGTCGACTTCGCCTCAAGAGGCGGAGGTCGGACCGACCGCAGCTCGAACGGATTCGGATGGTTAAGGCTAATTGGGCCAAAGAAGCGAGAAAGCGTGAGGCCAAGCGTTCGGGGGCGGGTGGCGAAACACCGCCAGTTGAGGCAGGATTTGGTGATACAATACTGCGGATTGGGTGCAGAGTCCTCCAGAGGAGCCGAAGTAGATGATTTGATGATGATCAAGACATGATATTAAAAACAGATTTAAAAAAACACTGTCAAAGAACTGAACGATCCTCCATCTTTGGGTTTTGCCTGAGAAATTCACATCCTGATCCCTTCCCACACAGACTCATTAGAGAGAGAGAGAGAGACAGAGAGAGACACAAACTCACTTCTGCACACGGGTGAAGCGTCGCTCCTTTAAAAGAATAAACGTGGGCTACGTGGAATTGGCTGGTGGAAGGGAGCGATTGGAGCCAGACACGTGGAATTGGCCATGAATCCATATGAATCCATCATGGCCATGTGTTGGCCATGAACATGACCCCTCCTGATGCACTGAAGCGATGCCATGAACAGTGATGCGAGCGAACAGCAGGACTGCTTGGAACGTTGCCTTGCGGAGGGCCTGGCAGCGGACAGGAGACGACGGACGTAACGTGGTGAGCCGCGGCGGGGAAGATGTCGCTCGACCTCGTTGTTCTCTCCGCCTGATTGGGAGGTTGCCATGTGCCCCATGTGCTCTTGTTAAATGCAGGGTGATGCCAGTAATTGCAGAAAAATGACCAAAACATTAAACATACCAAAACAATGCTTTAGGTATGCATACCGTATGCAGGATCTTTGTGGGAGTCTGGTGCTGGTTATGAAGAGTGCCCCCCCCCACTGATTTAAGAATAGGTCCATGTAACCCCTCTGTTTGATGCGCTTGCTCGATCCGCTGTTGGTGAAAGCGCCAATCAGATCTGATTTTTTGGGGTCGATGTGCCATCTATCAACCCATCGTGAAATCGACAGCAAGTGCCGAACTCCACTGACTCAAGCCCCTTTGGTGAAGAAATGGACTTGGACAGTTGTGCGAAACTCTGTTTGAGGACAACTTCCACCTTTCCGTTATCCTTTTCTGCTTCCTTTTCCACTTCCGGTCGTGCCACCCGGCCACCGTGGTCCATTTTTTCCTGCCTTTCACGGTGCCTGGCCGTGCTGTGGGCGCCAGGAGTTGCTTCTCGCAGCTGGCCGCGGCCTGGCTGTCGAACGGTGAACCATCCAAGGCAGCTCATTGGCTCGACCGTGTGGCCACCATAGGCGGAGGTGGAGGACGGGCCGGGAGAAGAGAGGTTTGTGTGCTCGGCAAAAACGCCCGCGGAAAAGGAGGAAGAGATTGCAGTCATGGATGAGCAGATTTGAAGCTTACTTGAACCTCATTTCACTTGAGCGACCAGTCGTTCTTCCAGCCCTCTTTAGGCAGAGAAAGCACTACACTGGCCATCAGCGACTGAGAAATCCAGACATCCATGTCCCAATGTCCGAAGGTAAGATCTTTGAGGATCTTTGATGTATAGAATGCAGAACACCGGAAGACATCTGACTAAATGAGCGAGCTCCGTTTTTTGGGGCTTTGCAAAGAGATCCAACCCCGCTATCCGAGCATTGATTGATCCATGCAGATTGTTGTCTACTCAGAGTGGGCGATTCCACTCGGGCCCCGCAGACACGGATGATGCAGACTCAGCAGCAGTCTTGGCCGAGGGCCTGAAGGCTGTCTTTTCGTGGGGCGAGCAGCAAGATTGCAATCTGGAGACCCATGGATAATTACCCAAAATTTCTGGGACAGGGAGGGGCGAGCACCTGAGACAGATTTGCTGTGTTCAGGGGGTAAGCTGCAGCGCAGCGTTGCACCAGTTTTGGACCTTTTTCACTCTCTTCAGATTGAGATTTGTATTGAGAAAATCCTGGATCTCTACCAGCTAGTAGGTTGGCCATTGCTACTAGGTTGGAGGCCAGTACTACTAGTAGCAAGGACGCTACTAGTAACAAGGGCATTACTACTAGTAACAAGTAGCAGCTAAATGCAGATTCAACTGGATATAAACAGCATCGGCTCTGGAGGCTGGTGCCGCGGAGGCGTCCTCGCAGGCCGGGAAAGCGCCAGGCGTGCGAGAAAGACAGGAAAATAACAGCAAAATCTCCTAAGTAGGGACACTTGCCTCCATGTGGGTTTCAAGGAGGCTGAACACCTAGGCTTCACTGACCTTGGCACTAATTAGGTGTTTCTTGATACCAAACACCCCCTCAACCGTTTGTCAATGTTCCTTCTTCCAAGATGTCTTCGTGGGTCTCCCTAATCCACATCCGCATATTGTCTCTGTGTGCAGGTCGACCACCTCCCTTCCTCAAGACACGCTGCCAACAACCCGGTTTGCTGTCCCCAACACTGGGCACTGGCAAGCCTCCTTCTTTGCGATGAGTTCTTGTTCGAGCAGTGTGGTCTCCAGGGTGTTTCATCTCCAAGAATCGACTCAGTACTGGAATCGATGCCTAAGGCACCAAACCCTTGAGATGTGGGCTCTGGCCTCTTTTTCTGCCAGCTTGGTATGCTTAGTGAACATCACTTTTCCGAGGCCTCTCAGACGGTGGTGCGCCTGGCACAAAGTGGTGCAGCCACAGAGGAGGGGGGTGGTCGACACAGCCGATCAATGCCGATCACTTTTTAGTGTATGGTGATTTCCAAATGATAGAAACGTTATCCAATACCTATTTAGTCGGGATCTACTTTTCTATCTATATATTTGGGGTTCTAAAAGAAGGTGATGTGACGGCCGAGAAAAAATAAAACAAAGAAAGACAGACCCAAGCACACCAGCACCAAGGGAGGCAACCAGAAAACAACCTTCGGACGACTTTTTGGGGAACAAATCTGTCACAAAAAGCGTCACACAGCTGCTTTGCAATTAAATCAAGCATTTCCTTGGCATTCAGGAGCAGAGAGAGGGCCGCAGAGAGCATGTCCAGGCTTTGTTTCTTTCAGCGTGCCCACCCCTATCGTGTCTAAATTGGTTCCCTTAGCCTCATAGTTTTCAGATGCCCGCAAACGACATGGCTATCCCAAAACGATCAAGACCCTTTCACGAGCGACGGTGCTCTATCTACACCTCGGTTGAGGATCTTTGGAACGATCACTCACAAGATACCTCTGACATAAGTGCCAGAACAAATGGCAACCAAGAAGACTCAGGTATAGTATAGACCACAATGTATAACTTTCCATACGACCCAAGCAACCAGCAACATGAATTAGATAATCTACACCTTGGATGGTTGATGGAGAAACAAAAGGGGCTGCATGCCTGCTCCAACGTCCAATAAATCTGATCGTTCTTCAGACAAACAAAGCATGAGATGTTTGACAGGGTCCGGGTGACAGCAAGATCAAACATATGGGGAGCTAACAAACGGACCCTACAGTTTTGCTTACCAGGCTTAGCAAGCTTCAGAGATCGAATGAAAACAGCATCACTTGTGTTTCGCTGCGCCACACAACTTGGGCCCGACTGTCAGCATATGCTGCTGTTCTTGCGTTTGTTTGCTGATGTTTGGTGTGTTGTCTGTGTTCTGACCAAACAAAAAAAATAGAAGCTTTGGGCCTCTCCTCCTTTCTCAGGAACACCTATGAACACCCACAGAAGTTTTGATTCTTGAAGCATTCTCTAAGTGGGTCATAGCCGTCATCAACCAATATGTTTTTCCCAATTTGTCCCAGCTGTTTTCGTCTCGTTGTCCAGGAAAAGACACCTCCCCCCGACCCTTCCCAGATGAACACTTCGAACCTCCAAGTCGAATCTCTCCAAAGCAACGCGTGATTCCACTTCTCACGTTCGCCCTGGATCGTACGTGGCGAACCCAACACCGATCCAGGATCCACCAATTCTGCCCTCGCCGTGCCTCTTGAGGCCTCTCAGGAGCTAATGGAGGCCTTGGCATCGCGGAAGGCTGTCACCCGCGAGGCCTTCGAAGCGCTGATGGCGCAGCTGGCCACCGCCGGACAGGCGGAGGCGGGGGGGCCAAGTGGCGAGGGAGGTGAGAGAAAAGATTCAGAAGACATGCGAGGGAGGGGTGGGTGGGGGTCGAGCGAGTGGCGGTGAGGGAGGGGGAGGTGGGAAGCCAGCCTTTCTGGGCAGGAAGCCAGCAGTTGGTTCCAGCGGATGATTGCCAACGGCTTCGAGCCAGGCGGGTGGGAGGCTGGGGTGAAGGATGTCAGACCTCGTGTCTTCCACATGGTCTTCCATGTGCTTTTCCAAAGCAGACAGTCTTGACTTCTTCATGTCTTTCTCATGTGTTTTGACTTTTCAATCCACCACACCATGGTAGGTGGCCCGGCAGTGCAAGCAGTCGAGGTGTGAAGTCCTGTTGCGCTGTGGTGGATGCCTGGGCTCAACGAGACCCTGAGAAGGCACAAGAGATCTTGGAACAATTCGAGGCGTGGAGGTTCCAAAAAGATCGACATCAAACATGGTTTCTTCCACCTTCCAAGTCCGGTGGTTTTTGGACACTCCGAATAAGCTCTTTACGAGGCTATTTATAGACACCTCTTGGTGTCGGTCCTGGTTATTTATGTTTGTCTTTGAAAGCCAGCAGGTCTGCTGAACATCGGCCACCAGACTGGAGATCTTTGGTCTATGTTGGCCTTCCGAATCTGCACTTCCCCACTCTTCACAGGCATTACGACTAGTAACAAGAAGCTACTAGGGGCTCCTGGCATCGCTACTAGGAG